AACCCACTCCAGGTCCCTTATGCAAGAGGCAGAACAGCTATGCTCTGGGCAAAGAGGCATCATCTGTCTCTCTGGGCGGAACATATTTCCAGAGTGGCGAATGTGCAGGCAGAGTGGCTCACCAGGGCCACAGTCGACCACTCAGAGTAGCGCCTGCATCTGAATTTATTTCAGGAGTTGATGGATCGCTTTGGGCTGCCAGTCATGGACCTGTTCACCACTCAGGACAACACACAACTGCCCAGTTCTTTGCAAGGTTTGTGGTACTGGGGGCAGAGGGATTCCCTCAGGCTCTTTACAGTCCTTGGCCCTGGGGACTTCTCTACGCCTTTCCTCCTCTTCCCCTGATTCTGAAGGTGATCTGGAAGGTATTGGCTGAAAAGACGGAGCTCCTGCTTCTTGCACTCCACTGGCCCAGACAGCTATGGTTTGCCGACTTGGTCAACCTGTCAGTGGCCAGACCCTGGAGGATACCACCGGACAGAATCTCCCTCAGCCAGGGGGCCTTGGTCCACCCGGATCCACAGTGGCTCCAACTGACTGACTGGCATTTGCGTGGAGATTTCTGAGCCAGGGCAATTACTCCTCCAGAGTTATCCAGATGATACAGGCTTCCAGGAGGCCTTTCACCAATCGTATATATTATGTGGCCTGGAAAGCCTTCTGCTCTTGGTGCTCCAGGTTGGGTTTGAACCATGCATTGGTATCCGTGCCCCAGATACTGGAGTTTCTCTAGGACGGGCTAGCTCCCAACACCATCTGTCATCAGGTGGTGGCCCTGTCCTCGGTCCTTTCTTGTGGGGCTCTGTAGTCCCTCGCTCAGCACCCGACCGTCAGCAGGTTCATTAGGGACACAATGAACCTACGGCCTCCAATGGTTCATGGGTACCCTACATGGGACCTGACCAAGGTACTGCATTCGCTGATCGAGGCCCCGTTCGAACCACTGAGATCGACCACACTGTGCTTCCTAAGGGCAAGGTGGCCCTTCTGATAGCTATCACATTGGCTAGACGGATCTCAGAGCTGGCAGCCCTCTCTGTCAGGAAAGATCTCTGTATCTTCCATTCTAATAGGGTGGTTTTGCGGTTGGACCCTTCCTTTGTCCCCAACCTTTGTCCTAGTTCCACAGGGCTCAGAAACTTATACTGCCCGACTTCTGCTCAGGGCCAGTACATGCCCTGGAGAAGAGGAGGATCCTTCGGGCCACTACATGCCTTGGACGTGAGGAGGGCCCTCCGCATATATATTAAGAGGACTTCCTTCTTCAGGAGGACTGAGTCCCTCTTTGTGTCCTTCCAGCCCTCTATCCTGGGCAACAAGGTCACTCCATTGACTGTGGGTGGCTGGATTTGGGCATGTATCACTAAGACCTACAAGCTCCAAGCCCTTCTGTTGCCTTGGCGGGTGACAGCTCATTCCACCAGGAGTGCAGCCACGATAGTGGCATGGGCGACGCAAGCCTCTTTTGAAGAAGTTTGTTGAGCAGCCACATGGTCCTCTCTGTCCCCTTTCATCAGACATTACAAGCTGGACGTCTTTGCTTTGGCTGAAATGGCCTTTGGCAGGCGAGTCCTCCAGAGGGTCCATTCTGATCAGGGGACCTCGGACCAGATTGCGGCCCACCCGTAGGACAAGCCAGCTTTTGAATGTCCCATACCTAGATGCTATCTCCACCACAATGGAGAAGGGGAGTTGGTCTTACCTGATACACTCCTTTTCGTTGGGTGGAGATAGCATCCAGCCCCACCCTGAAGACCGTCTGGTCCTGGTCCAAAGGGGAGAACTTTAGAACAAGACACGTCAAGTCTGTCACTTCATTCGCCAAAAGTTGGGGACCGTTGGTAAAGGAAGTGTGTCCTCACAGCTCTGACAGACTCAGTTCAATCAGCTAGCAGACGAGGTCAACCCATGCCTGGATGCTATCTCCACCCAACGAGAAGGAGCGTACCAGGTGAGACCAACATCCTATTTACTACATATTGATTTTACGGTAGATAATGTTGAAACGGCACTACGTAACCTAAAGCCATCTCTATCTATTGGCCCTGGATTATGTGCCATTATGGTCTTCTGGGTGCGCTTCAAGGTTTTGGTTACCACCTTTAAAGCGCTCCATGGCTTAGGACCTGGGTACTTGCGGGACCGCCTACTACCACCAATAGCCTCCCACCGGCCGGTACGCTCCCATAGAAAGGGGCTCCTCCGGGTGCCGTCGGCCAAACAATGTCGACTGGCGGCCCCCAGGGGGAGAGCCTTCTCTGTGGGGGCACCTACTATCTGGAACGAGCTCCCCCCAGAGATACGGAGGATCCCGGATCTGCGCACCTTTCGCCGCACTTTAAAGACCTTATTGTTTCACCAGGCAGGCCTGGCCTAATTTTCTCCCTCTTTCATAAAAGATTTTTAATTTTTAATATCTTTTAGTATTTTATACATTCAATTTTAAAATTGGTTTTAAATAGTTCGGGGTTTTAAATTTGTCAGAGCCAAAATTATTTAATTTGATTTTATTCTACTTTTAAATTTTGTATGGATGTATTTTATTGTTTGGCTGTGCACCGCCCTGAGTCCTTCGGGAGTAGGGTGGTATAGAAATCGAATAAAATAAAATAAATAAATAAAATAAATCTGATGGATTATGTGCCTATTTTTGAAAAAGTTTGTCACTACCCTAGCTGAACCTCTATGCACAATCTATGAAGTATCCTTCAGAACCAGCTCCTTGCCCGACCTATGGTCATTAGTCACAGTTATACCTATCTTTAAAAAGGGAGATCCTAGTCTAGTGGATAATTACAGACCAATCTCACTGTGTTGTATCACCTGTAAAGTTATGGAATCAATTATAAACCAATCCATCACCCTCCATTTAGAGACAAACAATCTGCTATCTAACAAGCAGTTTGGTTTTAAAAAAAAATGTCCTGTAATCTGCAACTCCTACACTGTAGAAACATTTGGACCACACATCTTGACCAGGGTAAAGCAATAGATGCAATTTACATAGACTTCTGTAAAGCCTTTGGTGCACGACAAACTACTGTTGAAATTAAGTTCTTATGGCCTCTCTGGATCCCTGTACAAGTGGATAGCCATGTTCCTATCCAATAGGCAATGAATAGTCAAAATAGGGGGGGCCCAAACAAATCTGGCACCTGTTAACAGCAGCAGCATTTTAGGACCAATAGTCTTTCTGCTTTACATCAATGACCCATGTGATCATATTAAAAGCAGCTGTGTCCTCTTTGCTGAGGTAAAATTATTTAACACCACTGACAATGCTGCTGCCCTATAAAGCAACATTGACTATGTGTCAGAATGGTCACACATTTGGCAACTCCAAATCTCAACTAATAAATGCTCTACCCTGCACATTGGCAAAAAAAAAATCAGAACACCAAATACAAGTTGGGCGGAAATGATCTCATAGACAACCCTCACTTTGTCAAGGACCTAGAAGTACTCATCTCAAATGATCTAAGCCCCAGAGCTCACTGTAACAGTATTGCCAAAAAGGCATAAAGAATTGTTAACCTAATCTTGCGAAGCTTCTTCTCCAGTAACATTGTACTGCTAACTAGGGCATATAAAACCTTTGCCAGACCAATTCTTGAATACAGTTCATCCGCCTGGAATCCACACTGTATATCGGACATTAATACAATTGAGCGGGTCCAGAGGTATTTCACGAGAAAAGTACTCCACTCCTCTACTCACAACAGAATCCCTTATGCCACCAGACTTGAAATTCTGGGCTTGTCTGTGTCCGATCTAAGCACATTACACAAAATTATCTGCTAGAACGTCTTACCTGTCAGCTTTAACCACAATAATACACAGGCAAACAATAGATACAAACTCAAGGTAAACCGCTCCAAACTCGATTGCAGAAAATATGACTTCAGCAAGAGTGGTCAACACCTGAAATGCTCTACCCGACTCCATTGTTACAGCCTCAAACCCTCACAGCTTCAACCTCAAACTGTCTACCGTGGACCTTACCCCATTCCAAAGAGGTCCATAAAGGGGGCATGCATAAACGCACCTGCGTGCCTACCATCCCTGTCCTACTGTTCCCATTTATCTGTACTTACTTCCTTTATGTTTATACCTATACCCACTATCTTGTACATGTTTGACAAACAAACAAACAAACAAACAATTCACCCACATGGATCCCCCAATGTAGCTCCCCCCCAGTTTTAAAAACTTTATTCCTTTACGTTTGAATCTACAGAAAAATCTAAAGATTCGCTGTAACAAAATAGTTAACATGATTTTCTCTATAGCATTTATAATAAACATTGCATTTTAACAAATATTTTTGTTTGTAACTTTGATACCACTGCATCCAGGAGTAAAGAACTGCCATCTTGTGAAAAGCAATTAATAGACCTCTGTGAGAAGGTCTATTAGAGAAAAATAGTGGTTACATATATGCTTGTTATTTTCCCAAAATGTCTCGCTGTGCATACACAATATATATACTCAAGTCTGAAGTTTCTCCAACTGGTCATCTGCAGGAGAATAGTTTTTGTTGTTTATATATTTCAACTTTTATATATTTTCAGCAACAGCTCAGTATCTGAATATGTATCATTAATATCATACAATATTCATAATAAAAGTTTAAAGGCAAATGACTCAAATTTTGAAGATGCAAAAACATTTTACAACTGCAGAATATTCAGTCTTTTAAATGGAGATTGGGAAATTACAAACATAAAATTAGAAGAGACTTGACAGAGGGAGCTTGCATAACCAGCTTGGTGTTAGACAGCCATACAGTTTTTTAAAACTGTGTTGGACTTTGTGGAATTTTCATAGGATTCATTGTCAAATGTTTCAGGAGACCACATAATACTTGGTTATCAAGTATACAAGAGCATGCTCAAAATTCCTTGCAAAGGTTAGTAGCAGTATATGGATGCATAGAAATATTTTAATGTAAATTTTACACACAATAGGTTAAAAAAAGCAATAATTCAGAAAAAAACCTTGGAGCTCCAGAAAGAACGAAGCTGGTCCTGCAATGCTGGCTTGACTGTCTGAAATTTTATAAAAAAAAACAAACAAACCCACTAATTGAAAACCAACAACGCAGAATGTATAACACAAGACAAAAGTATTATTGAATGGAATGTCATACATAATTGTAAAGCTTTTTAAGTTTTTACCTTCAGACTTGGTGTTTGGGTCTGATCAACAGTAAACCGCATTAAAATACTGAACTGAAGATCATTTGGAAATGATTCCCTAAGAAATAATAGAATTAAATTTCACTTCATCACACTTAAAGTATGTTCAGAAACTAGACATAAAACAGGAAATACATGTACTTTGCCTAGGTAAGCAATGAGAAATAATATACAAATTATGGGTTTCTAACACTGAAAAAATTAAAACTGGACAAAGCATTTGAGTTCATTCATTGTAAAGGTACATAATATATAAACATCACCAGAAAGACAATATTATGAAAACAGAAATGTTATTATTATTTTTTCTACACTCTAATATGCTGACATATATATATGATTATTTTATGCAAAACTGGTGCATAACTTAAATACAGATGTAGAAATTTTAAAATGTGTATTTTTATTCTGATATCAATCTATTACCTTGTCACATCTAAAGCCTTCTGAACTTTTGCTTGCACAGATCCCAACAAGTCAGCTCCCATTTTTTTCAGAAGCTGGGTCAGCAGCACAAATAGCCAATCCTGTAGATCTTCTTTTTGAACTTGAATAAAATCTACTAATGTTTCCAAAAACATGCTGAACACCTGCAGTAGGGGGAAAAAGGGCGGACAAAAGGGGAAAAAAAGTAGGGAAGAAAAGGAGTTGATGCTTGCCTGTGTTGAACTCACAAAATAATGTAGTACCACATAGAAGCAGATAGAGGCAATGATACATAGCCAAGCGGGAAAACATTCTCTCCTGTTTCTTGTCAGAATCTTGTGATTCAGAAATATATTTGTATTTCTGCAAATTAGTACTTCATGCAATACCACTGAGCAAAGAAATGCTGTGATGACTGGCGCAATTCTCTTCTTCCCTCCTCACTACTTTGGTGTTTTCTGTTTCATTGAATTTGGGAACTTGATCTATGCTTCATTTTAGCATACTAGATCTTTTCATTACAACTGATCTGAAAAACTCTACATCTTCCCAGCTTTAGTGATAAATTATCTACTTTCACAGATCTTATATTCTCTCATATTGCTCAATCACAATATTTATCTCTTTTTCATACAAACTTGCTTTTTTTTTTGCTATTCAACTCTTTATAGATTTAATTCAAATATGATATTTAATAAAGTCTGAACAACCATAAAAAATCTTGTTTTCCTATTTGGAAAATAGTTTTAACTACTATGTCTTGTATGCATAGAAAACATGCTGGATATAGATAAAAAAGCTAAGATGCTACAACAATTCTTTAAAGAAACAGATTTATGACTATCTTCAATATAGTACACTGTAAGATTTGAAGCAGGGAAGAATGAAATTAATGTCTTACAAAGGATCTCTATACACCTACAAATTAACTTCAGCATTGTTTATAAAAATGTCATTAATTATGGAAATATAACAATCTGTAGTTGAACAGAATCAGGAGAACGGTGAAGAAAATTTAAAATTGGAAACTTGATCTTCATAGTTTTTGGAAGTATTTGTATCTAAACAATAGTTATAAAAAATCATAAAGGTGATCCAAAATGGTGTACTTGAATCAAAAAACAAGTTGATTAAATAATGTATAGTTGCAATAGGGAAATTTTATCTTTTTCCATATAGATACTTAGCTACACTTTGTACTGAATTAGTAATCAAACTTTCAAATAAGAATAAAAGGCATAAAAGGCATAATAATAATACTTTGATTCCTACTGCAAACAAAAAAATAAAAAAAAAATAAAAAACCAAAACATATGAGGTAGAAGAAAAAGAATCGCACAGTGAGTATATTATACCTTTCTGTTGAAACTAGCTACTAACAAGAGGTGTTCTTTTGCTCAATTCCTAAAATCTAGGTTTCATAATAAGGCAGTGATTTTCAGTTGTAATTTCATATTTATCTTGGGTCTATATTTTGCTTATCAATGGAGACTAAGGGGAGCAAGTGGCCAGTTTTAAGTTTCTGGGTGTTACCATAAAAGAGGACTTGACCTGGGACACTCATATTGCAGCACTGGTCAAAAGGGCTCAGCAGAGATTATATTACCTAAGACTTCTCAGGAAACAACAACTGAATGAAAAACAGCTGGTGGCCTTCTACTGCTGCACGATAGAGAGTATTTTAACTTGCTGCATCTGTGTATGGCTTGCAAATTGCACAGTGGCAGATAGGACAGCACTCCAGAGGGTCAACATCATTGCTCAGAGGATCATTGGTTGCCCTCTCCCCTCTTTGGAAGAGTCTTATAGCTCCCTCTGCCTTAAAAAAGTTCAAAACATTCTTAAAGATACAACTCATCCTGGGCACCCTTTTTTGGAACTATTACCATCTGGCAGATGGAACAGGATAATAAAAACAAGGACACATATTCTGAAAAACAGTTTCTATTCTAGGGCAATAACCATATTGAATTCTATGGTATAGTGCAATATCGGGTTTTCAATTTCAATTATATGTAATGTAAAGGATGTATGTTTGTGCTTTTATTTTTATAGTTATAGTGTACACTGAAGACAGCATATAATTTCGTTGTACCATGTGCAATGACAATGAAGTAAACTAAACTAAACTATATTTGCTGTTTACAGCATCAAACTACAGACTCTGCTGTTACGTAGTGCAAGCAAAATTGGGGTAATGCAGACACAATTTTGTTAAGACTCTTTGGATTTTGGATGAGTTGTCCATCTAGGGTTGGAGCTCTGTCATAACTCATTCCAAGCTTTATTGTAGGATCAGCTTTAAGCTCTAGTTAAATATATCCAAATAAAGTAGTACAGAAAACTATAATTTAATGGACTATGGAGGAAGGGATATAAAAAAGGCTAGATTTTCCAATTTTCTACCGCAGTAAACCTCAATTTAATAAACCTTGGTTTAGCACAATTCCAACTGAAGCTGCAAGTCTCTTAGAGTAAGGTTTTTTTTAACCCTCCCATTTTTTACAGAAAGTAAACAAAAGATGTGTGATAGCGAAAAACACATTCTAGGCCAGTGATGGCTAACCTTTTTGCCATTGAGTGCCAAAAGTGGGGGGGGAGTGTGGGGGGCTCATGTGCACGTGTGCCCACATCCATAATTCTATGTGCCCTGCCCCCATGCATGCGACCCCCTGTGCTCTCCCTGCTTTTGGCACATAATGGCATGGTGGGCCACCGGACTTCCGGTGGAACCGGAAGTCAGGAAACAGACCGTTTCCGGCCTCTGAGGGCCTCCAGGGGGTGGAGGTGGGGAAGGCCATTTTCACCTGCCCCAGGCTCCTAGAAAGCCTCTGGAGCCTGGGGAGAGCGAAAAACGGGCCTTCCTCACCCCCCCGGGGACCCTCTGGACGCCAGAAATAGCGTGTTTCCTGACTTCTGGTGGGCCCAGAAGACTTGAAAATCAGCTGGCCAGCGCACGCATCCACACTGGAGCTCAGCTCGCGCGCCCACCAATATGGCTCAGTGTGCCACCTGTGGTATACATGCCATAGGTTTGCCATCACAGTTCTAGGCCTTCCAAACCAAAATGAATGCAAGAACTATGGAAGCAGTACAGAACTCTGATTACATGTATTATTTGGCTATGTGGTTTACTGACTTAACTTTCTTTTTGTTGTAGGTTAGATTGTGTAAATTTGAACTATGCCAAATGAATGTTTATTAAATTGAGGCTTACTGTAGTAGAGAATTAGAAAGCCTAGCTTTTTAGAAAAACCTTCCACTAACACATGAATTGGCAACCTAAGGAGGCCCAAGGGACACAACAGATGTAGTTTCTATAGCTGGAATGGCAAAGTGGGCATGGTCTAATCATACATGTGAGCAAGCCTTGCTCTAGGGACACTGAAGTGGGGGGTATTCTTTGGATGTATCTAAGTTATGAAAATTTAAGTTTTATAATACTTTTTTCTTGTGTTTCTCACCTCAAAATGCTAAAATCATGATCAAAAAGGTTTCCATGGGTTACAATAAGGGGTTTTGGAAACTGCAGTTATCCATCTCTGTACTCAAAAAATAATAGCTATACTGAGTAAAAAGAATGATGCAACAAAATTGGATTCAGACCAAGTTAATTCTTAATATTGGTATAATTCAATTGAATTATGATCATAATTGTTGTTGTTTTCAATGGGACTTAAGTTCAACTGTCAATTTATCTCCAACTTATTATTCATGTGATGCATTTAACAGTACTGATAGGCATCATTTCATATATATTTAATATGTCAACTCACCATATTTCATGTTCAAAATTGCAACACCTGTCACTGTCTAACAATGCTGTTCCTTCTTCATAATATGTATTAACTGTAGATCAGTTAAATATAAACATAATTTATACACTGCTCAGTATTGCTTATTTCATGGCATTTTGCAAAAAAAAAAAAAAGGTATTCAAGCTATGGAATAGCCAAAAAGGTGTTTGTATGTGTAAAAATCCACATACACACTGTACACAGACAAAGAATGTATGTGTATGTATGTATATATTAATGCATGCATATGTGTATTCCTATAAACAAATCTGGATATAAATCTGCAACTGGACTGTGGAGAAAAACATTTTAGATCTTTTTAATATACTTCCTTAGATGATATGAAATTAAGATGCGCCAGTCACCACAATACACAATAGCAGTAGAAAAACAAAAGGAAAGTTAATTTGTATACAAAAGCATTTCAGGATAATTTGTATAGCTGCAGGAATTTATAAAGTGCAAAAGCTACATTCTACAAACATTTTTATAAGTATAAAATAGAGGGGAGAAAGATTAGTATCCATCATGCAACAAAATCAGGGCTCTAACGAATATTGATCCAACTTACTCTCTATAGAGAGTTCCAACACAGGGGACAGCATGCAAAAAGAAAAAAGGGGGAGGGGGAGGGGGGAGATAAAACACACAAATTAGTTGCCATCTGCATAGTTCCTGCATGAGAAAATTATGATACAAGGATTTATATGTGTTAAAATATTAATATCTTTGGAATCAAATTCCTAAATAGCATGTAAGTACCAATCTATCTTCTGTCTTCTTCCCCAATTTTCTCTTTCAATATCAAATCATTGGAAGAAAAGTGCTTTTTTATGAGCAATTTTAAAACGTGGCTGTGCATCAATTCAAGCATCAAACTTTAGTTAAATTAAAGAACTGTAATCTATACATATTTATTAAAATTATAACATCTTAAGTAGATGTGCATATTTTGGGGTATACTATAGATACAAATGCAATAGAACTGAAGTCTATTATTTTCTACTATGGCAGAAAATAACTTGTTTGCAATATTTACAGAATTGAATAACCTGACATGGTGCTTCAAGTAACAGAATTTTAGCTACTTATCTGATATATCTATATCTTATCTATATAAGCTTAAATATTTTACTGAGCCCTATGGGCTCCTAAAACAAAGTGCCATTAGACAATTAAGTCAATAAACATCTTCAAACACAGCCAAAGGACTTATCAATTTTTTTTAGAATGATTGCTATAAACAGATCAAATTAAAGGTACACACCTAAGACTTATATTTCTAGCAAACACAGAAAAGCTCGCAGAAGTTAAAATGCATCCATAAGTAGAATAATTTACAACAAAAGATGCAGAACTTTTTCCAG